GCTCTGTCCAAACCCCCTGCAAACACATCTGTCCCCAAGTCACACTGCCTGTGTAGGGGTGCTCACAGCTGCTGAGTATCTGCTCTCAGGAGCGACCCAGCCAAGGGATTTCTACAGACCCTGGAAGAGGGCTTGGGGCTTGTTGGTGAGGAATTCCAGGGTCTTATGCAAACCAGAACGAGGTCCGAAAGGAGGTGATAAGGGTTTGGGGTGAGCACGCCCACTGGGCGTATGGACCCCTCACCTGTGGGCAGCTGGAGCGGGACCAGAGCCACACCCTCTAAAGCATAAGGGCCAAGGCAAGTGTCCAAAGGCCTGTCCAGGTCTACAGCAGTACCACGTAGGAAAATGCAGGACTGGGGACAATGGGACGACATCAAAAATACACTGCCTCCCCGCCTCGAGATGGAGATAAGAGCTAACAGTGTTGGACAGTTACTATTTTTCAGATGCTCTTCCATGGGCCTCATCTTTCCTGGCTCTGTCATCTGCCCAGACCCACTGAGAGGCAAATTACTATTACCATCACTCCTGTAGAGATCAGACAGCTCAATTTTAAGTAACTTGCCCGGTGTCATAGAGATGGCGTGAAGGTCTTAACCTGGGTAGTCATGCTCCTTTTTTATTTTTTTAAGATTGTATTTATTTATTTGACGCACAGCACAAGCATGGGGAGTGTCAGAGGGAGAGGGAGAAGCAGGCTTCCCGCTAAGCAGGGAGCCCAATGCGGGGCTTGATCCCAGGACCCTGGGATCATGACCTGAGCTGAAAGCAGACACACCCAGGCGCCCCCATGCTCTGAACTAGTATGATACAACAGGATCAAAGCAGAGTGACGGTAAAGATCTGGTAAAAGATATGTCAATTCTATCTCAATAAAGCAGGGGGGTTAAAAAGATATGCCAGGAAATTGTTAACCAAAAGAAAGCAGGTCTAACAATATTGATTCAGACAAATAGAATTGGAAGAGGAGAGCTCTGAAAGGACCAAAGAGGAATATTTCACATCGTCAGATGGTAGACAGACTTCCTCGGGAAGAAATGGCATGAACCTAATCTACCTAATAGCTTCAAAACATACAACAAAAGACAACTGAGTACACTTGAACAATGACAAAGCCAGAATCATGGTGGGAGACCAACATGCCTCTCAGAGAACATCTAGTAAAGCACAATTAAAAGTAAGGACATAGAGAACATAATATGTTACCTACAGTGAATGTCCTAATTAGCGAAAGACCAAATCCTCTCATGTTTGTCCCGTGTGAATTTTTCACCATGGGCACATTAGCAGTTGTAGCAAATCTGGGAGTGTGTGGACGGGATGGGCTGGTGGGGGTGGGGTGGACGGGTGGGTAGAGATTCCCAAGGGAGCCTTCAGGTATCACCCATGGAGACTGGAGAAGGAGGCCACACCGACCTTTCTGTGACCCTCACCTGTGTGCTGCTTCTTTCAGCTGCAAAGGGCGAGGGGAGTCGGCACCACTAGAGCTGTGTCCACAGACATGATAACCTTGGCACACTCAGGGCTTCCTGCAGAACCTGGTAGAGATGCTAGACCTACAAGTGTATGCCAGCCAGCCTCCTTCATGATTAGCTCTCAGAGATGGAAAACTGTTAAATCATCAGGGTTGTTCTCACCGGGATTGGAGGAAAAGCTTCGTCTAGGAAAGCAGATTAGTATGATCTTAGTATGATCAAGATTACTTGTGCTATTGCTGCAATGGTAAAAATACATCTTTTCCACCAGTGTCCTTAATAACTTACACCTTTCTCAATGGACTTTATTTATATAGGGAATTTCATTCATCATTCAATACTTATTGAGCAGGTACTGTGTGCTCGGTGCTGGGGGGACAGCTGTAAGTAAGATAAATAAGGTCCTTGTTCTAATAGAGTCCTTAAGCTGCTGGTGGGGAGAGGAATTAACAAAGACAATTGCAAAGAATGATAAATGCTATGAAGAAAACTGATATATTGAGGCTAAGCTTGCCAGATAAAATACAGGACACCTGAGTCAATGCGAATTTCAGATAAACAATGTATGATCTTTTAGAAGTATGTCCCATGCAATATTTATATTAAAAAGTCATGCATTGTTTTTCTGAGGTTCATATTGAACTGGGTGTCCTGTATTTTACTTGCTAAATCTGGCAAACCTGGGTCCGGGGTGGTTCAGTTGGTTAAGCGTCTGCCTTCGGCTCAAGTCATGATCCCAGAGTCCTGGGATCAAGTCCTGCATCGGGCTCTCTGCTCAGTGCGGGGAGTCTACTTTTCCCTTTACCCCTCCCCCCTGCCCATGATCTCTCTCTCTCTCATTCTCCCTCTGTCAAATAAATAAATAAAATCTTAAAAAAAAATAAGTGGCAAACCTAAATGTCGAGTTATCAGGTGTGAAGAGTGGGCAATTTCAGACAGGTTGGAAGGCCTCTCTGAGGAGGTGACATTTGAGTGGGAAGTTGGAGGTACAGAGGGAGCCAGTTATTCGGGGGTCTAGAAGAGCATTCAGGCAGAGGGAAGGGCAAGTACAAACACTGAGGTGGGAATAAGCTTGGAGCTTGGAAGAACAGAAAGGAAGGCAAGGTGGCTAAGTTGAGTGAGGGTGGAGAGGAGGAAGGAAGAAGGTGATGAGGTCAGACAGGTTGACAGGGGCCAGAACTTGCAGGGTTTGTGGACTGTGATAAGAGATGTTGAATAATTTTACAAAATAGTTACATCCATGACCCTTTCACTCAAACAGAGCAATTTTTGCATTTTATCTCAGGAATTGCTTTTACATGTTCATAGCCAGGGTGCTGTCAAAGATAAAGTCAGACATTGTTAAAGCAGTAAAAACAGATTTTATTCAGAAACTACTCACAGTGGGGGAAAGAGTTGATTCTGACTGTGCAGAGGTGATTGGGCATTTTATTTTTTAAGATTTTATTTATTCATTTTGAGAGAGAGAGCATGTGAGCGGCAAAGGGAAAGGGAATCTCAAGCAGACTCCCCACTGAGCATGGAGCCAGGCATGACCCTGAGATCATGATCTAAACTGAAACCAAGAGTCAGAGGCTTAACTGACTGAGCCACCCAGGCACCCCTGATTGGGCATTTTATTTTTTTATTTATTTTTAAAAAGATTTTATTTATTTATTTGTCAGAGAGAGAGAGTGTGCGCTCACACAAGCAGGGGGAGCCACAGACAGAGGCAGAGGGAGAGAAGCGAGAGAGGAACACAAGCAGGGGGAGTGGGAGAGGGAGAAGCAGGCTCCTGGCTGAGCAGGGAGCCAGATGTGGGACCTGATTCCAGGACCCTGGGATCATGACACGAGCTGAAGTCTGCCGCTTAACTGACTGAACCACCCAGGCGTCCCTGATTTGGCATTTTAAAGGTGAATGTGGGAGTTGGAGAGTGAGGGCCCAGGTGAAAACTTAAAGCGTTGGTCGGTGTAAATGTCATCAGGCTCACTATGTCTGCTAGCTAGCAATTATCAGGGTTAGGCTCCCATCTGCGCACAGAGACCGAGAAACAGGCCTCACCTTCTTGATGATTATATTTCAAAGGAATGGCTTTCAGGTCATTGAGAAAGACACTCCTGAACTGCAGGAGATACATATACATCTCAGAGGGACAGAAGAAAGATTCACAGTTGTAAGTCCTTTTTAGTAAATGCTTTAAGGAAGGGAGGTTGGGGCCTATACCCAGGTGTTGGCTAGAACAAACAGTAAATTCTCCTGGCAGCATTGAACTTTCTCAAGCATTGAACTTTCTCAAGCATGTGTGTGTGTGTGTGTGTGTGTGTGTTGGGGTGGGGGACACTGGGGTCATCCTAGGGTCATGGCCTTATGCTGCTGCTAGAAGCCATGTTCAAATTTGGTCATCTCTTACTGCAGAGGTTTGAACAGAGTCATTATATGCTGAGAGTTCTGCAGGTCTCAGTGCCTATATAATTCTGTGTTCTTATATTTGTTTCCTCCAGTGATAACCAAATATATGCCTTTTAGTCCCCAGAGTAGCAAGCTAGCAATTGCAAGGGATGCGCTCTGAAACAGCTGAGCCTCAGCCTGCTGGTGGCTGAAACTGAGAGCTGGGATTTCCCTAAGTCCTCACTGCTTCCTGTCCATTGTCACACTCTATGGATCATAAGATCCTACAGGCTCCACCTCTATAGTGTATCCTGAAGCTGTCCACTTGTCTCCATATGCGCTGCTACTCACCTGAGTTCCGAGCCATCACGTCTCTCTCCTGGATGCCTCCAGGCTGCCTGCTTCAAGTTCTTCGCCCCCACCCCCATACAGTCCATCTCCACACAGCAACTGGTGGGCCTTTTAAAGTGTAGATTTGGTAGCCTTCCCCTAATGGATGCACGTGAGAGTGAGACCTAGTCTAAACAGGGCTTATGACGCCCATATCATCTGGCCCCTGCTGGCCTAACTTCATCTCCTGCCTCTCGGCACTTCATTAAGCCCCAGCCCAGCTCACTCCTGCCTCAGAGCCCAGGCTGTTGGCATCCCCTCCTCCTGGAATGCTCTCCTTGTTGAAATTGAGGTCAAGTGTCACTTGTTCAGAGGTCTTCTCTGACCAATCAATGACCTTCCAAGTCACTGCCGGTCATATCACCCTGTTTTATGTTTTCTCGTCGTAGCGCTTATCAAGATCTGAAATGATTCCGTGTATTCCGCCTCTTCCTCTAAAACCTGCGCTCTGCGAGGGGCGGAAAGTTCTCGGTCTGAGAGGCTATGGACATGACTTTGAGCAGTTCGTTCAACAGTGACAGAAGAACTACTACGTGCCTCACTGCTGCCCTGCATCAGACTACGTCGCACTCCGGCGGCCACTCGCTGAACCCCCTGTCCGTTCTCAGGAAAATGGGGATTGTGGTGCCCCAAGCCGCGGTCTGAGCCAAAGGGCATTGTCGCTTGTGACGTCAGCGCAAACACAGAGCCGGTCGCGATTGGCCATCCGAGCTTGGGTGGGGCCTGAGCGCTCCTGGTCCCGCCCCTCGCCTCTTCCCGGCTCACGCATGCGCCCGGGCCGCAGCCTCGCCGCCGCGCCATTTTGCCGGGGTTTGAATGTGAGGCGGAGCGGCAGCAGGGGTGGGTAGTGCCGGCTACAGTTCGCGGCTGAGATTCCCTTCTCCGTTCCCGTATCCCCAAGAGGTGAGGCGCGGGGCGTGCAGGGCCTGGCAGGGTGGTCTCTTGGGACCCCGCTGGGGGAGGGATGCGACGTTTCTGACACTTCGAGCGCTGGGAAGCAAAGAACGCGCCTCTGGGCGAGAGCGGAATTTGAGCCCGTGCTTCGGGCGGCGCCCTCGGGCGAGGTCTTTGCCTGCACGGACGGGTCGCGCCTCACCTCGCGGCGTGCCGGGCCTCAGGCCCAAGCCCAGCCGCCCCGGGGCCTGTGAGGGGCGAGGGCCCCCGAGGCGCGGCCTAACGCGAGCCGCCCGAGCGCCCGCCCCTTCCCCCCCAGCGCCGCGCGGATTGGCCGCGCCGCCGCCGGGCCGCTCGGGAAGGCCACCTCTCATTGGTCGCGCCCGCGCGTCCGTCCTCGTCGCGCCGGGCCACCCGCAACGTGAGCGGAGTGCAGTGGCGAGGCCTGTCCGGCGGGGCGGCGGGACTGCGGGGCCGGAGCCGGCTGCCGCCCAGACGGCCTCTTCCCCGGGACTCACGCTCTGATTGGAAGGGGGACCTTTAACCTCCCTGTGCTTCAGTCTCCCCGACTGTAAATGGGCATCGTGATCTCACTTCGCTGAGTTGTTTGAGGATTACATTCTAGTCCATGCACCTGCCCAGGAATGTAGGGTCTCGCTCTTGGGGGAGACGCGAGAGTGTGGTAGTTCGGAGCATGAGCTTTGGATTAGAAGGCCTGGGTTCGCTCCAGAGTCGGCCTCCCTGGGAGTGCAGGTTAGGCCTCGTCCCTTCATCCCTCGGAGTCTCCCCCTTTCCTTATCCGCAAAGTGGGGTTGAAAACAATCTGCCTCGCAAAGTGGCTGTGAGGATCCACGGAGTTATTACCGTGGTTTACAAAGTCCTACCCGAAGTGACCATTGTCTGCCTCTTCCACCCGTCTCTTCTCCTTAGCCACTGTAGCCATACTGCTGACTTTGTTTTCTTTAATGTTCCAAGTTCGTGCCCACCATAGAGCGTTTGGACGTGCCTTTCGTTTGCTTGGAAATTATCAACATCAGAACTTTGCAAGGCTGGCTCCCTGTCCTTTAAGTTTCATGTCCCTTACAGCTTTGACCAACTTCTCTGAGGACTTATTTCTTTCAACTTTCTACTTAATAGCATTTACTATTAACTAGAATTAGAGTTGTTCATTGTCTTTCTCAGCTGCTGGGTTGTAAACTTCAAGAGCAAGGACCTTGCCTGTCTTGTTTACTGCTATATTCTGGTGATGAGTGCTTACCACGTGGTAGATGCCCAAGTGTTATTCATTGGAGGCATGGGGGGGGTGCTTTTTACTACTCTTGGATCCCACCTGTGTTCTTTTTTTTTTTTTTAAGATTTTATTTATTTATTTGGCAGAGAGAGACACAGTAAGAGAGGGAACACAAGCAGGGGGAGTGGGAGAGGGAGAAGCAGGCTTCCCGCGGAGCAGGGAGCCCCATGCGGGACTCCATCCCAGGACCCTGGGATCATGACCTGAGCCGAAGGCAGACCCGTAACCACTGAGCCACCCAGGCGCCCCACCTGTGTTCTTTTCTCTTCTCCTGAGCCCCCTCCCCATAGTTGAATTTTTAACCTGTGTGTGTGTCTCCACTTTCTGCACAATTCCTGGGACTCTTGATTGACCTTATCCCTCCAAGACACTTTGACTTCTTTCTATCAGTGCAAGGGAGTTTTCTCTTCTCATCTGGTTACTTTGATTTCTGCTACTTGGGGGCTGGGACAGAAGGTTTCCTATAGAGGATCGGATGTGTTTGAGAGCAGTGCTCTAGCTTTGGAATTAATTTGCTCCTTCATTTAATAACTATAGAGCATCCACTTAATATCTGGGAATACAGTGAAGAAATAAAAATGGACAAGGTCCTTTCCCTTGGGGAGCTTATATGCTAATGGGAGAAAGAAACAGTAATACAAATAAATGAATTAGATAATTTCAGATAGTGACAAGTGACAGAGCCAATGTGACAGATGAAGGCTTCTCTGGGGGCACCTGAGTGGCTCAGTCTGTTAAGGGTCCAACTTGATTTCAGCTCAGGTCATGATCTCAAGGTTGTGAGATGGAGTCCCATATTGGGCTCTGTGCTAGATGTAGAGTTTGGTTAGGATTCTCTCTCTGTCCCTCCCTCTCTCTCCCTCCCCCTCTCAAAAAAAAAAAAAAAAGGCTTCTCTGGAGAGGTGACTTTTGAGCTGAGATCAGCCATGGAAGTTTGGGGGGACAGAGCATTCCAGGCAGAGGGAATAGAAAGTAAGTACAAAGACTTGAGGACAGGAATGGACTTAGAGTATTGGAATATTGGAGGAAAATCCAGCTTGCTACAGTAGTGTATGAAGAAAGGAGAGGTATCCAGGGGCCAGATCGTATAGGGCTTTGTAGATAATGTACAGTTTGGATTTGATATTAAGTGGTCTATTCCTGTGATTAGAAAGCAGGGAGGGGGGCGTCGAGGTGTTGGGGTATGTTCTTGATACGTGTGTGCCAGATAGTTTTCATTCATTGGATCTCTTTCCCTTTCCCCAGATGTAAGGACTCAGGAATGGTTCTCTAATGTGGAGGAAATATCTAAGGAAAAGGCACAGATCTTGGATCAGCTTATGTCACAGATGTCTGTCAGATGGCCTTGGAAAGCAAAGTTTTTATTCCAAAAGTCTTCATCCATAACTGAGGGCCTGTGGGAAGAGGCTAGACTTAGGTCCAGCCATTCATTCAACAAGAAGAACTTGGAATTTAGATAAGTCTCTCATCACTGATTTACTGTGGTACATGTGTTTTCTTTTTTAACTGAATTGGTAGGGATTTCCAAAGATCTGTGGAAAAAGTAATGTATCTCATATAAAAGCAAAATAATGAATTTCACATTTCCAATTTTAATCATTATTTTAAAATCAATAACACTTTCTACATTTACATTTTGCTAATATTTTAGAGTCCTGGTACTTTCACATGTGGCCAAATTAGATAGCTTAATTAGACCTTGATCTTGCCGATATATTGTGAATACCTGTGGAGTATTCTCTAAAGTTACCTGATTTGTCATGCTTTCCCAAATCAGGGCTAAGCTTACAATTTTTTTTAAAGATTTTATTTATTTATTGGAGTGAGAGCACCACACACACGAGTAGGGGGAGGGGGCAGAGGGAGCGGGAGAAGCAGACTCCCTGCTGACCAGGGAGACTGAAGCAGGGCTGGATCCCAGGACCCTGAGATCATGACCTGAACCATAGGCAGACACTTAACTGACTGGTCCACCCACACGCCCCTACCATTTGGTTTTTTAGACATTATCACTAAGGAGATACAAAAAGGGTTTGTTGACAGATATTTAGTTCCTTAATTAGTAGTAAACTCAAGGATCTGTGTAGTATTTTGACTTTCAGGGATTGTTTCATGCATATTTACATATCCCCGTGAGCCCCCATTTTTTTTTTTTTTTTTAACTTACAAATAGTCCTGCTTAGTACCGGAACTTTGTCATTTTAGTGTCATGCTGTCATGTGGTCCTAGAATCAGTTGTCTCCACCTTTTCCTGTAGTCACAGTCAGTTGACCAGAACAAATGTGTAGAATGATGGAAAGTTGTTTTTTTTTTTAAGATTTTATTTATTTATTTGAGAGAGAGAATGAGAGAGAGAGAGAGAGAGCACATGAGAGGGAGGAGGGTTAGAGGGAGAAGCAGACTCCCCACTGAGCAGGGAGCCCGATGCGGGACTCGATCCTGGGACTCCAGGATCATGACCTGAGCTGAAGGCAGTCGCTCAACCAGCTGAGCCACCCAGGCGCCCTGATGGAAAGTTTTTGATGGAAAAAATCAATCAAGGGAGTGCAGCTTTTGAAAATAGTACAAGAAATATATAGTAGGTACCTATCACTATTGTAAAGCTCTAGGGAGATTGAAGTGATCAAAGCCCTTACAAGAAAGCAAAGTAGTATGCCTTATAAAATTTGGAAATTTGGAACTTGGAAAAATAGAGTAAAGGAGTAGAGAGTGACTGAAGGGGGTGCTCTTTTAGATAGGATGGTCCAGGAAGGCATCTCTGAAAAGAGATAACCTTGGAAAGAGACCTGAATGAAGTGGGCAGTGCCAGGCAGCTCTCCAGAGGCAGAGCTGTTCAGGCAGGTGGAACAATAAATGCAAAGCCCTGAAACAAAAGTATAAGCACTGGCATATATGAACAGTAATATAGGACAAATTTCAAATTCACTTCTTTCTTGAAAAACTTTTGAATGAACAGAAATTAATTATGGTGGGTAAGTTATCATTTGTTTATCTTACAGATGTAAGAGTTCCCATGTTAAGTTGGGGCTCCTCATAACTGATCCTCAAAGAATAGTTTCTAATACACACTGGGAATTCCTGTTTTCGCTAGTTGACTGACATATTGACTCATCCTTTAGTTCATTCAACAAATGCTTACTGTGTATCTCCTGTGTGCCAGGCAGTGGTAAAGTCCTGGGCTTACAGAGACAAGACATACAAAGTCCCTGCCATAAGGAGCTTACAGTAAGGATAACAAATATATAACAGATAATTCAGATTGATGGTTACTGCTATTAATAGTGTAATGGGAACAAGGTAGATGATAATGGTGGAAGGCCCTTTTGAGGAGTTGACAGCGGGCTGACAGCTAAATGATACCCAATATCAAATTAGAAGGAAGAGCATTATTACAGCATGGAGAACTGTCTTGGCTGGTTCACGCAACAGAGGGAAGGCTTTTGTGGCTTGAACTTAGAGCCAAAAAGAAGCCAAAAGAAGGTAAATGAAGTTGACAGGTTACAGATTGCATGGGACTCTACCATGGTAAAGAGTAGAATTTTTTTTTTTTTAAGATTTATTTATTTTAAAGAGAGAGAAAGAGTATGCACACTAGAGAGAGTGCACACCTTTGGGGGGAGGGGTAGAGGGAGAAAATCTCAAGCAACTCAAGCAAACTCCCCGCTTTGGAGCCCGACTTGGGGCTCGATCTTATGACCTGTGAGATCGTGACCTGAGCCCGTATCACAAGTCAGTCATTTAACCAACTGAGCCGCCCCAAGGGTTTGGATTTTTAATATAGATAATTATGAGGAATATAAGAGATTTTAGCTGAGACATGTATAGTGCTTTAAGAACATAATGAAGAATGTTAGTTGGGTGCCTGGGTGGCTCAGTCCGTTGAGCCGTTGGTTCTTGATTTCTGCTTGACATGATCTCAGGGTCCTGGGATCAAGCCCTGTGTGGGGCTCCGAGCTCAGTGAGGAATCTGCTTAAGGATTCTTTCTGTTCCTGGGGCGCCTGGGTGGCTCAGTTGGTTAAGCGACTGCCTTCGGCTCAGGTCATGATCCTGGAGTCCCAGGATCGAGTCCCACATCGGGCTCCCTGCTCGGCAGGGAGCCTGCTTCTCCCTCTGACCCTCCCCCCTCTCATGCTCTCTCTCTCTCAAATAAATAAATAAAATCTTTTTTTAAAAAAAAAAGGATTCTTTCTGTTCCTTTCCCTCTGCCCCCTCCCCTGCTCACAAGCGTGCACGCTCTCTTTCTGTCCCTAAAATAAATAAATCTTAAAAAAAAAAAAAAAGTGAAATGCAGAATTACTGAGGAGTGTATTAAATTCAACAGAATAGGGGCTCCTGCATGGCTCAGTCAGTTAAGCGTCGGACTCTTGATCTTGGTTGGCTCAGGTGTTGATCTCAGGGTCATGAGAGCCTGCTTAAAAAATCAGTAAATAAAGGATATTATTAAAAAAAAAAAATCTCAAAATAGATCCAATTAATCTCTGTAATCCTCCCAATACACACAGTTTCTAACATGCTGCCTTGAATAAATGTCAAAAGGTAGAACAAATTTGTGTGGCAAAGAAAGACAAGGGTTTTTTGGTTTTGGGGGGTTTTTTTTTTAGCTTACATACACTGATGTAGATGATTTTGCTTGGCAACAGCAAACTTTCATGATTTCATAACAGATTGAGCATTTCAACACAAAGAATGGGAAAGGAATTGATTAAATCACTACTTTCCAAAGTTTTTTTGTTTTGCTTTGTTTTTTAATATTCATTTGGGGGAGAGAGTGAGCAAGAGAGAAAGAGCGCAGGAGCAGGGGCAGAGGGAGAGGGAGAAGCAGACTCCCCTGCTGAGCAGGGAGCCTGACACAGGGCTTGATCCCAGGCTGGGATCATGACCTGCACCAAAGGCAGACACTTAGCTGACTAAGCCACCCAAGCACCCCTTTCCGAAGTTTTATATAATAAAGTAGTTCTGTGGCCAAGTAATGGGGGGGGGGGGACTCTGGATTAAATAACATTAAACTGATAATTTACTGTTTGAGTTCATGAAACCTTTAAGGGAATATAATGTGTAGCATTTTCCAAACTTTTTTTTTTTTTTTTTTTTTTAGATTTTATATTTAAGGGCTGGCTGGCTGGCTCAGTCAGAGGAGCATGCGACTCTTGATCTTAGGGTTGAGTTTGAGACCCACGCTGGGTGTGGAGATTGCTTAAAAATAAAATTTTTAAAAATCTTAAAAAAAATTTTTTGTTGTTAAGAAATCTTTATATCCACCTCAAAACCACAAGATCAAGAGTCGCCTGCCAGCCAGGCACCCCTGCATTTTCCAAAGTTTTGATATAAAACCCAGAAATGGTAGCCTCTCAATAAATTGTGTGTATGTTTGAGTGGTACTTGATATTCATGCCATAGAGTGGTTTGCACTGGGTCAAAGGAAGTGAATGGATAGGTGGAGGAATCTCCTAAATAAGAATATTGGCTTCCCTTATGATAAAAACATCTTCCAGTTAAAGGAAAAGACTAGTAAGGAGAATACAGATAGTTTCGAACAAATCATTCTCCTTAAAAGTTTGTAGTTCCTGGCTGTGGAGGGATATGCTGCACAAGCATAGTATTAGCTATAGCCCTTATCTATAGCGTTAGCTAACCCCCGCCAAGATGCCCTTTCTATTGCTATCCCCAATGTTTCCACTCTAATTCAGTCCCCTGTCATTATTATTTCCCCCTGAGAGATAGCCTTGGTTAGTAGGAAGAGAGTAGACTTTATAGAGTCAGACTGATCTGTTGAATCTAATTTTTATTAACTATGTGACTTGGGGCAAGTTAGTTAATCTGAGTCTCCTTGTATATAAAATGGTTATTATATGAAATGATATAAATCATACAAAACATCTGTCATTGTGCCCTTCCCCCATTTAAAAAAAAAAAAGTGTCCTAACACATCTTCACTTGTTCTTCTCAACTCCATTCTGGAAACATTGCCAGCCCACAGTTCATCTACTCCACTTTCATTAAGTTTTGACTCATTTCAAAAAACCTTTGGTGACTTCCTATTGTACATTAAATCATGAAACTCTTCAGCTGAATATTGAGGAACCTATATGATCTGATCTTAGCCTCCAATTCCTTTATTCTCCAAAGGAGCTATGTACTCTTCCTGTCTGTTAACTTTGCTCACACTAGTTCTTGTATGAGATGGGTCTTCATTCTACTTTGCCTTTCTGGTTCTATGTATCTTTCCTCTTTTTTATTTTTAGTATTTTATTCATTCATTTTGAGAGTGAGCAAGAAAGAGTGAGGGAAGTGGGAGGGGGACGGGAAGAGGGAGAAGCAGACTCCTTGCTGAGCAGGGAGCCCAACGTGGGGCTCCATCCCAGGACTCCAGGATCATGACCTGAGCTGATGTCAGATGCTTAACTGACTGAGCCAGCCAGGTACCCTTCTGTGTATCTTTCAAGTTTAGCTAAAGACAGCCTCTTGGACATCTTGGCCCACGTG